AAAAATGTTTAATTCTTTACAAAATAAATATACTATATAAATTTAAAATAAAGTCTTCTTGCCTAAAAAATTAAGATGTCAGTCTTGTTCATAAGACAAACCTGATTCCCTCTCTTCCTGAGCAGATGATCAGTGAAAACAGTCGCCCTGATTGTGTTACTCTCTTATTTCTATTTACTATTTTGTTTTGTTTTGTTTTGAGAGAGAGAGACATCAATTATTTACGTATTCATTGGTTGATTCTTGTATATGCCCTGACCAGGGATCGAACCCGCAACCTTGGAGTATCATAATGACTCTCTAACCAACTAAACTACCCAGGCAGGACTCTATTTACTATTTGTGATTAATACATTAGATATTGACCAAAACTGGAGCTAAAATCTTGTATAATTTAATTAAGAGAGCATTTGGGTAAAAAATATTGGACAGTCGGGACTGTCCTATGATTACCTAGAACTAAGTTACCTGAGCTTTTCTGTGCCTGCCTGAACAGAAAAAGCTGTTGGCTTTTTAGTTCAAATTTTGGAGACTCAACTCATCCCAACTGACTGTAATTATTACTCTTTAAGGCTCACGTTGTCACTTCTTTGATCCTGCTGACTTTTCTATACCCCATAACACTCTCTAAATGTAGACAGATAGAATATTCCAGAGCCTGGATACAAGCAAAATCACCTTAGATATCATAGAGTCAGGAAATATGACTGTTTGCTTTCCCTCTCTGGTTTCCCTTAGTAATGAGAAAAGTTTCTTGTGACCCTACCTTCCCATTAGGGGCAAGTTAGGTGGGGCCAGACATTCAGCCCAAAGGCCCTGAGCGGGACCTGGGTAGACAGCTGTGCCAAAGGGCATCCTCTCTCCCAGCAGGACAGGGTGGCTCCAGTCCAGTCCCCACATGGGACCCCAGCGCACGGTCATCAGACACCCTTGCCAAGTCAGGCAGTGTGTTCAAATGCTTCATTAAATATGTAGCAAGCACTCTGAACACAAAGGAACTAGTTTGGAGATGTGGTTACCCACCAGTGAGGCCCGCCCCTTGGTGTAGTAAGGGGCCCAAATGCTGTCTGAAGACCCTCCCAATTCTAACATTCTTTGAAGTTAGGGGAGCAGGTGCTTTGGAGGATGGTGCCCCGGAGGGTCTGGTCCCAGGTGTGGGTACAGTCACCTGGAAGATGGCGGAGGGCTCACTGTAGATGTCCAGGATAGGGTGGGAATGGCTCCTCTGGTCCTTGGAGTTCTGGAGGTGGTAGCTGACCTTGACAGTAATGTTGGAGAAGCAGTCCTCTTCACAGAGCTGCAGTCACCAGGAAGGCGGAGTTGCCGTCGGATGTGGGGCAGAAGATGACAAGGAGAATGCCTTTAACTTCGGTGTAGTCATGAAATAAGCCATGACAGTGGAGAGCCAGAAGTCCTAAGCCTCTTCCCAACAAGCCAGGCTGAAGGGAAGCTGTCATTGAACCAAGCTGCCAAGAGCATTAGAAAGATCCCTGGATCTGCTCTCAAATCTCATAACTCCTTATGGTTTCCACCCCAATCCTAAGGAGTTAAAAACTGACAACTTTGCCCAGCCTGTGTGGCTCAGTGGTTGAACATGGACCTACGAACCAAGAGGTGGCAGTTCAATTTCCGGTCAGGGCACATGCTCAGGGCTTGATCCCTGGTGGGAGGTGTGCAGGAGGCAACCGATCACTGGTTCTCTCTCATCATACATGTTTCTATCTCTCCCTCTCCCTTCTCTGAAATCAATAAAAATATATGTTAAGAAAATAATATATTCTTTAAAAACCTGATGATTTTATTCAGAGAGCAAATGGGAGGCACTGAGGGACGACTCATGGTCACATCTGTGTTTACAGAACAGCATGAAGGACATATTAGAGGTGAAAAACAAAATGCCATCCTGGGATGGCATTTGCCCTTCTCTCTGAGTGAGCCATGGTAGAAGCTTCGAGCCAGGAGAGTAGGTGAGCATGACTCCTGGTGGAAGGAGTAGTTATGCTTCTATTTAAAGAAGCCACGGACTCACTGGAAACTCTTTCTTAATCCTATTAACAACTGGAACAGATGTGGGGACAGATGTGTGGTTAGAAGCATAATTCATGAGGTTGTTGGAATAAATGATCCTTATAGGTCCAAAGTTCTAGGGCCAGTCAGGCCCTGAGTCCTGACAAATACATTTTCTTTTTTTTTTTTCTGTTTGAAAGAAATTTTTTTATTGTTTTATTGCTTAAAGTATTACAAAAAGTATTACGACAAATACATTTTCTGTGAGTGTTGTAGACACCTTTGTCAGATGGAAACCTTCGTAAATAATAACTTTTGTCCTTCTATTTCTACTTTCTTTCATTCAGTTTTTCTGATAATGATTTGAAGAAGGACCCTCAGCTCCACTCTTAGGTCAGTTGACAGGGGAAAGGAATAAACAGCAATTAGAATATTTCACTTTCTGTTCAGATGCTAGGAAGCTCAGAGATATAGTTAGTGTTCAATTTCAGCACATTTCTTTCATTTGGATTTCTAACATAATTAGCTTCATCACCCATGCTATTATGTGGTTCCTGATCTATCATTTTTTAAAAATATATATATTTTAAAATTTTTAAAATTGATTTCAGAGAGGAAGGGAGAGGAAGAGAGGGATAGAAACATCAATGATAAGAGAGAATCTTTGATCGGCTGCCTCCTGCACACCCCCTACTGGGGATCAAGCCTGCAACCTGGGCAGGTGCCTGACCGGGAATCTAACCATGACCTCCTGATTCATAGGTCAATGCTCAACCACTG